CAATGATGCCCTCAGGGGCGCGGTATCGCCGGTAGCGTAAACGGTGCCGGTATGCTTCTCGCTCGGCGAGGATAGCCCTTGGGTTTGGCGGCGGCCAGGAAGGGAACCAGAGCTCCTCGTTATGGATAAGCTCATCAGTCGGGCGGTCATCGTCCTCCTCGTCCTTATCTGGGGGGTTGGCAGGGGGTGAAGTCGAGACCTACGCCCAAGGTTTCCGCTTGAGCCATCTGAAGGCAGATTTCATCTCAGGCGGTCGCGAGTGTCTTGGAAGAGTGAAAGAAAGCAAGGGTTGACTGTGCTCACCGCAGGCGCCTGGACTAAGGCCGATGAAATAAATAAGATAGGGGAGGTTGGGACCCGTGGCAACTTACAAGGCGGTTAGCCTACATAGCCAATGATATCTCTAAGTCGCCAGCCCTGAGGCTGTTCAAACGTTAGGCCCTGGCCGCCAGGGAGGGCGGCCATACCTGTTGCTGGCGGCTGTCAGAGAAATGCTAGGTTCCAGGTCCCAGTCCTGAACTCCCAGCACTAAAGATGGTTTGCGGGTTCGACCGCAGTTTTATGGCTGTGTTCAAGACGGCCAGTCAGATCGACATTGAGGCGGGGATGGCGGAGGGAGCATTGAAGATAAAATTACCTAACCTGGAATGGTTTATAAAACCACAACGAAGGCATCTCGACGCTCTGAATTCCCCCTTCCTCCCATCATAGAAGCGTTGATGAGAAGGGTACCGCCTCCCTCCCAAGGCTGTTAGCACCAGCCCAGGGGCCAAACACCCTCACAACCAGCCCCAGAAAACACACCACGCCAACGCCACCATCGAAACCCAAGGCTGCCTCCCCAGGACCACCCTCTCATACCATTCCTGCGCCTGATCAAACCTCAACCACTGCCACCCCCTCCCCGGGTGAATATGCCCGCACACCACCACCCTCGGCCTCACCCTCCACACCTCCTCCAGCAACGCCTCGCACCCCTTTATTCCATCATCCAAGTACCCCTTCGGCGGCCCATGTACCAACGACACCTCCGTCCCGTCGGGCACCCTCCCCATCCACACCTCCTCCCCATCCCCCTCCCCATACTTAAACCCCCAACTCCCAAACATCGGCGTCCACGGACTCCCAAAAACCCTCACCACCCTCCCGCCCCTCCCCACCCTGACCTCGACCGCCTCATGCTCCAGGTACCTCACCCCTCCCCAGGCGAGGCCAGCCCTCCGCCGGCCGGGGCGGCAGTCCAGCTCGCGGTCGAGATGGACCGCGGCAAAGGACGCGTCGAGAATCAGGTCGTGGTTGCCCACCACGACGAGCTTGTGCGGGTGCGGCTGGGCGGCGAGCCAGGTGAGTTGGGACTGCAGTTCGGGGAAGGTGCCGTACTGCGTTAGGTCGCCGGCATGGAGGAGGATGTCGCCTGCTAGGAGCGGGGAGGGGGTGGTGTTGTGCGTGTCGGAGATGCAGAATATGGTTGTAGGGTCGCCGGCGGGGTGGGGGGCGGTGGCGTTGAGAAGGAGGGATTCTTGTTGTTGCTGCGCTGGGTGGGTGTGAAGGGTGAACAGTCAGCGGGCGAGGCGCTCTGGGATGGGTCGTTGCTGGGGGATGCCGATGGACGGGCCGCTGATTGTGTTGACTGGCATGGTGGTGAGTCGTGTTGGTCTTGAAGTGTATGTAATTACTATAGGATTGCAGTCTGCGATGTTTTGTTTGGTTTGCTCCCGGAGGGTAGCGTCTGGCAATGAATGGATGAGTGGCTGAGGTGATGACGGGGGGAAAGTTAAAACCACCCGCCCTCGTGGCATGCCAGGTTTGATGAACCGCCAACCCACACCCAACTCAAGGCGTCACGCGCACAACCTCGGGGCCCAACCCAGGACCACACAACCAACTGGCGGCCTACCTCTAGTGGACGTGATGTATTTTGCACCTCTTGCTCGTAAAACCTTCAAATTTAACATACTACTTTCCCCGACGGACCACAAAAGCAGCCGCTATTTATAAATGACAACCTTGGATTCTTCCTCGCCCGCCCTAACCGATATAGGGCGGATCGTTTGATAAGCCGGCAAAGGGGTTTGCACTCCTCCGCCGCTTGCCCTCCTTGCGTAACGCCTTGACTACACGCAGCATCTCCTTGCGGCCGCCGCGGATGTCAATCATTTTGCCGGACATGGACATGGACACTATCTCGGTGGGGCCTGTTTTCAGGAGCCGCTTGAAGATGAGGTGGTGCATTAGCATGCATACAAAGACGCCGCAGTCCTTGCTGTTCTCCTGCTGCGGCATGTCCTCCACCTGGTGGAAGTCGAAGGTCACGTTGAGCACCAAGCCCAGCTGGCCCACGGCTCTCCTGGCTGTCCGACCGTTGGAGCTGCCGAGCGAGCCGTAGTGGAGGGCGAGGCGGTCCACGATCGACACGATAATGAGAGACCAGTGGTAGCCGCTGTCGGCATTCCCATGGTAGCTGCTGTCGCTGATGGGGAGAAAGATATGGGTGGCATTCCGGAAGTCGGGCAAGGCGGAGGCACCCTTTTCGAGGTCGGTGGTCCGAACCAGCAGATGGGAGACGACAGGGCGGAGAAGGACGATCCGGGACCTTGGGTACTGAGACAAACTCTCCCGCCCGAGAAACCTGCACATGTCAGGCACCTGCAACAGAAGATCTTGTCGGGTGAGGTCAGATATACTCCTCCCAGAAGGCGATGACCTACATGACTGTTAGCCGTGGAGCCTCTGTACCGCTAGAAACGGTGCAGATATACCCTGTCTGTGAGCCAGTCGCTCTCGAGTGCCTTGATATCTTCGATGTTAACTAAGGGACCAGAGGGTGGCTCCAATAGGGAGGAATTCAGATTCAGATATGCGCACGGTGGATGTCATAGTCTAACCAGAGGAGTCGTCAGTCTCAAGAAGTGTAGTAAATCTGGGTCCATGGGACTTACAAGAGTGGTATGGCTTTGGAGAGGATATGTCGAGCTGGTAACATGATTGATCGGTCACGTATTTCACACTCCCAACAGAGAGGCCTTTGCGAAGAGTCCCGTACAAGACAGCTAATGACGTAGCAGGTGCCATAGCAAGCAGAAACCATACATATAGGGGCAATGATATATTTTCTTCGATCCCAACTCAGGCTGTTTGTTCCCAGTTGTTCGAACACGCCACGGCATGCATGCCTGCACTATGGTTGGGCCCGCGCCCTTCCGCACTTGCAGCAAGAGCTCCGCATCATAACGGGATCTCCCATCGGAATGAGAGGGAAAAGGTGCTCTTACAGTTTCTCTAAAGTTCCGGGCCACGCTCTGGTCGAAAGGCATCTTGACGGCGTCGGGCACGTGGAGTCGGCTCGGATCGCTTGGACGACTGTCGGGGGTAGTGCTGTTGAGCTCCACTTCAGCCTCTTGAGATGGTGTTGGTGTTGGCGAGCTCTGGTGTGAAGGTGTCCTCACGTGCCCCGTTCCCCGTGTGAGATCTGCTGTATGTAGTGATTTGTTGTCTTCATCGTTGGATGAGTCTTCGGCGTCTGATGTCCGAGGCAGGGAACCGTGGCCGTCGCCGTCGAACGAGCCCACGACGGTCTTGGCAGAGTTCGTCAACGAGTCCAAGTATCGTCAATGATGTCGATCCGATTTTGGCTCGCCGAGTCATTCAGCTGTTGTAGTCCAAATCGCGACTTGAGCCTGAGCATCTCGCTAAGAATCTGCTCCGTATCTTTCCGTAGCTGGGTTGTGTCGTCCTTGATCTGGCCCAACACTGCCCCCAATGCCGCCGTGTCCTTCTTCACAGACTTGACGACCACACTACAACGGCCATTAGCAGGGTGTCATGGGAATTATGGAAATCTCATGGCCACAGACAGGGTGGAAATCTCCAAGGCCATGGTCAGCGTGCGAGTGTGAGTCTCAGGCTGCCGGTTCAACGCTGACACAGCCACTTTCTGATTGAGCACCCAGGGGAAATCGTCTTTGCGTTTCCGACTGAGGCTCAAGCGCCTGGCTTCCCAAACGAGAGGAGTCCAAGGCAAGTAGCCGACATGATCGGTACAGAACTCGGACTCAGACCTCGACAGCACGACCCTACCGATGACAAGCTACCCTACAAACTGAGATCAGCATCATAGAGATTGTTCCAAACCAGCACATCATCCAACACCTCCTTCTTCAAATTCAGGTGCGCATACCACTCAGCCGCGGACATCTGAGCTACGCATGCACGGCGATGCCGGGGATGCGCTCTGGGACTTGCACGTCACAGCCGCGGAGCTTTGCCAACGATCAGTCTTGATTCGCAGCTGAGAAGCACGAGACTCCTTGAGAATAAGCGTATCTTTCCCGAGAAGTAAATCCTTGGCATCCTGGCCCCGGGAGCCTGCCCCTCACAAGGTCTATCGCGACCACCTCGTTGGCATCACTTACCCCATGATCCCTTGCAGCACGCCTTCCTACGCGCTCGGGCTCGCGGTGGCTCGACTTGGTGATTACACTACCAAGGGCAAACACGTCCCGGCCGCCCTCTCACCCCTCGACGATAATGTGGGATTCGTCGCACATATCGAGCACAGATGGCCAGTACTTCAGCGTCTCGGCCGAGGTCGACATGAAGTGTTTTGGCTCTGGGCGGAAGTCATCGTCCTGTGGCTTGTAGCGGCCATAAGCGGGGATGTCCGCATATGTATCTGTCGAGGGGATGCGAGCTTGGTCGGTTTCGTAGGGATGCATCGCGGTCGTCGGTGTAAGTGAAAGTGTGACTGTGACTGGGTCCGGTGAGGACCTGGAAGTTGGCGGCATGATGCCAGCGGCGGGTGCCCGGTAATATGCAGAACCGCACAACCAACACCAACAGAACCACAAGTCACAGCAGCACGACACAGCCAACCCAAATGCCCCAGAACCCAGGCAACCAACACCCCAAAGCTACTGCTGCGCCCTCAAAATCCGCAGGACAAAGCAACCGGCCCACCTAATAATTGCCCGATCCGGCCAAGACCAATCAACACTTGAAAAGCCGGCGTGGCGCAATTGGTTAGCGCGTCAGACTTTTACTACAAAAAGTAGATCTGAATGTTGCGAGTTCGAGTCTCGCCGTTGGCGATCTTGTTCAATCTTAGCATTGGTTCAACTTTTTGCACCTTTATTTTCCTCGCCCAGAAACCCGTCACTGATCTAGCTGCTTTATTTCTTTTCTCTTGGACGTGGTGGCATCGCTTGATTCTCGATGCAACTGAGGGGCCGAACCCGTCAGTCTATTGGGAGTCGGCTGGTTCTCACCGCACGGCCCTGTGGACCCTCGTCTCATGTACACACACGCTGGTCACAATGCGCGTCCACAAACGATGCTGCCGCAGAACCGACGCCGGCTTCATCATTGTGTTCTGATAAGTAGTATTTAATTACTTCTCAGACAGCCTTCAGCTACTTTCCGCCCACCACACTGTTTGATGCTCATACCCTGCCGCTGGGTTCCCAGACCTCGTTGACAGATTCAGCCAAGTCCCTAAACTTCCTCGGCCTCTCCCCCGTAACACGCAAAACCACATCGCTGGTCCGGTTCTCGGCACCAGCCCGGATCGACAGGTCCATGGCGCTTATCATCTTTGCATAATCTTCGGGCATGCCAAAGCTCTGGTGACGCTTCTCCAGTTCAGCCGCCGACAGGTCGACGTGCACGATTCTTCTCCCAAGGACCTCGGTCAGGATCTCGGCAATCTAGAACCATGTCAATCTCAGTCCGTCCATGTTGGCAAAGTCATTGGAATCAGCCTTGACCACCTACCTCGCCGTAAGAAAGCAGCTCAGGTCCCAAAACCATGTAGTCTGTATTCGGGGGGCTCGGGTTCGTCAGAGCCTGCACCGCAACAGCGGCAATGTCATCTGCCGACACCCACGGGATCTTGCCCTCCCCAGTCGCCGAGTAGATCGCGCTCTCTTCCTTGATAGCCTTCAGGTGCACCGGTTGGTCTACAAAGTTTTCTAGAACACAAGAAAATGTCAACATCATCCAACCCAAGCTTCACTTTTCTCACACACATAACACAAAACGAGGCAGGGAGAAAACAGCAACCCCCCAAAAAGGGAAAAGAAGAAGAAACGTACGCTGAAACCAAGTCGGCTTAAGCACCGCCCACTCCACCTCCCCCTCCCGCCCCAGCCCCTCCAGATACGCGTGCACCTTGCCCATGGCCGGGCCGCCCGCCTCGATGGACGAGGCGCTCTGCAGCACGAACCGGCGCACCCCGCCCCTCTCCCGCGCAAAATCGATGAACTTGGTCATGAGGACGTCGGCGTCGAGAGAGGGCGGCGCGATTAGGTAGATTGCGCTGATTCCGGCTGGGGTGGTGGTGCTAGTGGTGGTGGAAAGCGAGAAGGGGTTGCGCCAGGTGTCGGGGTTGTGCCAGTCGAATGGGACGTGCTGGACTCTGGCGCCGTTGTTGTGTTGTTGTTGAAGATTGGAGCTGTCTGATGACCCGTTGCGAGAGGCGACCAGGATGGTGTAGTCTGAGTGGGAGGGGGATGATAAAAGCTGGCGGACAATGCGGCTACCGACTTTGCCTGTGCCCCCGAGGACGAGAATGGCGGGCTGGGCGGTGGGTGCGAACATGTTCGCGGCTGTTCTGTGGGCAGCAGATGGTGGCCCGGGGTTTTGTGGATGGGAGTGGTGGTTGCACAGGGGTCTTTGCGTGTTTGAAGATCTTCCGAGGGAGTGAAGCGTTGCGGTGTGAGAAATAATATACGCTGTTGGTATGCTGGAAGAAGCTTTAGTTACTTATATTCGACTCTCAAGGCCATGAAGAGCTCAACACTACCCGTACCGACGATGTTTCCGTGCGGGCGAGAGACCAGCTGACGAATCAGCCGGCTTACCCACAGCACGATTCTGGGCTTCCAGCGCCCCTAAGAGTGTGAAAAGTAGCAGGCTGGGCCAGCCCCGGGCTGGCCCAGCCTGTACATCTGTGGGTGTGGGTCAATCTAGATGTACCGCGTCCGAACCCTGCATGCCAAGCAAGCCCACCGCCTTTCTTTTTGGCTCACCGCCTTGATTTTTGCTTTGAGCTCTTGATGCAGGCTGCGATGACATCGTCAGAGGGTCTTTATCAACAAGTCTTGCTTCGTTGGCCGGTTTCGCAGCCAAATTCCTGTACGATGGCGGACAATGAAGACACGCAGTCGATCGAGAGCACCATTGATGTCGCATTTATCGATCCGGCGCTCGAGGGTATGGGATTCGATGACCTGCTTGCGCCTGAGCCCCCTGTTTCCCCGCCTGCAGACGACGACATTACCGAAACCCCCCCCTTTCCACCTGCGAATCAAAACAGGGACTCGTCTGCCTTTGAAGATCAGTCAGCCATTGCATCAAGCAGTGGTTTCGATACCCAACAGCCTCATTGACCGTCATCTTCAAAAAAAAAAGCCCCACCCTGGGCTGGCACCAGCCCCGGGCTGGTCATTCTTGAACCAGCCCAGCCCAGCCCAGCTCAGGCTGGCCCAGCCCGAAATACTGGCAGAATTGGCCCACTATTTACCAATTGCAGGCAACTTAGCGACGTACTCCACATCGATACATCGCGAAGGGGGGGGGTGGCCAGTCCAGCGAGGGCGTGTAAAAAGTGCCTCTAACAGCGGGTCAAAATCCCGCCAAAAGGGGAAAATTGTGGGGCGCGTTTCCAGGCTGGCCCAGCCCGGGGCTGGGCCAGCCTGCTACTTTTCACACTCTAAACTCCGGCGGCTGATAATCCCGTGTAAGTCCGGCTGGCCAAGCCTGCTGACCACGGCGCTCGGGTCTGGGCATCGAAGTGGTGGGCTGATTCTGGCCCTGACTTACGGCCTTAAGAATGGACATAAGCTATCCATGCAGAGATAGGCGAAATTCACTGATAAATCGTTGTTTGCTTACGAAATGTGTGCGAATTGACAGGCCGCTCATGATGTTGGGCGCTGTTGAGGATTGTATATTAAACTTCGCGATATGCCTCATGCATGAGGACTGCAGACCCCCACCAACACCACAAGCCAAAAGTTGAAGTTACTGCACCAAACTCTCAAACCCATTTTTGCAGTGTTGTATTTTCGAGATCAAAGCCAGAATTACCCGAGCCAACTCGGAGCGCGCGGCACTTCCACATCCATCCAATGGCTTCGTACGACATCGCTCAGTACCTCCTCGACAGAGCCAACATCCACGATACAGTGGTCAAAGTGGTATGCACCCACCCACCTCTGAATTATTATCAAGGTTAACCACGTCCCCGCTGACATTTTCCGCGCCCTCACCAACCCATCTACTACGACACACAGAATCTTGAGGGCCTCAGGTCCGAAGTGTACGCCGCCTCGGTTGAAAACGACTACACCTCCCTGCTCGGCGGCACATCGACCGTAGTCCCGCGCGAGGACTGGGTCAACCAGGTTGGCGGTATCCTGGGCCACTTCGCGTCGACCCAGCACGTCACATCGTGAGTCAGCCCCCCGGCCTCCACCAAAAGCACAAGAAGAGAACTGACGGGGGCTGCTGGTGTTGATAGAGGAATTATCACCAACCTGCCACAACCCACTGCCAACGCGACCCGGCCAGAGAAAGTGACCATCTACGCTCAGGTGGCTGGGAATATGGTTGGCGAGAACGCAGAAGATGGTAGCGCGCAGTCGTTGATGCAGAATGGAGTATGTCATTGCTTGTGGTAGCTCTCTATCCGTCTTGCGGCCGAATCATCAGTGCCGGATGCGTCGCGACCAGAGACATGTATCAAAGAGACTAACTTGTCCCTCTCTCATAGGGTTTTCTCGAAGCCGAGCTTCAAAGGGACATGGAACTCGAGAGACAAGGGCAAAACCCCTGGCGAATCACCAAGTACAAGGTGATCAAACGGTGGGCGAAGGGTGAGGCAGCACTGCTCGATCATGCTAAGGACGCTGTGAGTCGTTGAGTAGAGATCCAATGGAAGACAAGTCAAATCCAACAGTTTGATGAAAGGCTACATTGATTGCCTAATCACAAGCATCCTCACACAATGCGAATGTGTTAGTGTTTCTGGATGTCGTTCATCGTTCAATGCCTCAGCAGACAGCCAGTGGAGCAGCCCACCCCCTCCAAGAGCCATAGGACTGGCCCAGGGACAATGGCATGATGCGAGAGGTGACTTGATTCCATTGCTTAACCCGCCACCTACATGGCCTTCGTCGTCCCCCGTTTCCTCGCCTCCTGCACCAACCGAAAAGCCTTGACCGTCTCAACCGTGCTCAGCCAAATCAACACCCCTGGAATGACAATCCAAAACCCATTCATCATCACAAAGTACGCCCAAAAATAAAATCCCTCCGGCCGACAATACACCGCCCGATACACCGCCTCATCAAAAAAGAAGATCCCATAATACAGCACATCACCATACATCTGCCCCAAACTCACCGCAATCTGCAGCGGGTGCCGCAGCGGGTGGTCCTTGACCACCAGCCACCCGATCAGGAAGGACAGCGGCCCCCACGCGACGGCCGTGACTGTCTCCATGCATACGGTAAACGAGTCCCGCGTGAGGTATCGCCGGTCCGACTTTGCGTACTCCTTCCATAGCTGGCCAAAGAGGTCGGTGCGCGCGGGCATGGCGGCGTTGTGGCGCGCGAAGTAGCCTGGTGTGCGTGAATATCAGCGAGTTCAGGGGCAAGGGGTAGGTAGCGGGCTGACATACCTTCGAAGAACAGGTGGATGCACCCGCAGAGCATGAACCACATGGCCGTGAACAAGTCCGTTCTGCTGATGTTGGGGCGGACTGTCCGCGCAAAAACGGAGGTGGCCCAAAAGACCGCGCCCGCGGCAGCGGCAAAGGAGGTGATGAGGATGGGGACGGGGATCTCGTTCGGCACGTAGCCGGGGAGGACCAGGTCGGGCGGGTAGTAGGGGTGGGTTGCCATGCTGTCGTTTGGGGGGGCGGATGTCATGTTTCGCTATCCTTGGTGGCCCGGCAATTGTCACTCGGAATGTTGATTCGAGATGCTGGTTGCTTGAAAACACCACCAGAATGGATAAGGTACGGTCTCTTATGTGGTGGGCATGGAGTTGGACGCGATGTCGTGGGCGACGGAACCCGCGCGTTCCA